TTACTTCTTTTTTTGATGGGCAGGTGTTTGAGATAGACTTTGTCTGTGTAGCTTTTGGAGCCTGGCCTTGAACTCATAGAGATCCTTCTGCCTCTGACTCCCAAGTGCTGAATTAAAGATGTACACCACCACCGCCTGGCCTATCTTCACTATTTTTAGCATGGTTATTTAATTGTGCTATAAAACTCATTTTTAAAAGCAGATTTTTCTTGTTTCAACTAAGATTGTTCATTTCTATCATAGAAATCAGTGAGTTCAAAGACAAGCATCTTTCCTGTTGTCAGTGACTGAGCTGACTTGAACCTTTGGTCTTTTAAAATAAACTTGAATAATAGGATTGGTAAAGTGTTGACAAGTACAACTGAAGTTACATTATCTCATAGTTTTCTAACAGTAAGATTAACTGGACTTTATTCTTCACACAATTGCAGGTGTGTTCACCCCCGAGGAGGTGTGATACAGAGTGTTTCTTCCTGGAAGCATGGCTCTGGCACGCAGTATGTTGGCTCCCGGCAAACACAGTCATGGACTGCTGTGACTCCGCAGCAGACTTGGGCCTCACCAGCAGAAGTGGTTGACCTTACCTTGGATGAGGATAGCAGACGTAAATACCTACTGTAATGCAATGTCACTGTTTCTCTGCACTGTTCCCTCCCACTTCCTCCTCTTTGTGACATGGAAGTTCATTGTCATAGCTTCAGCTTCAGAAGCTGTTTGTGGCATTTGTGGAATTGAAATTCATGGTAACCTCCCCCCTCTTTTTATTAAAATATTCACTTAGGAAAATAACTTATCACAGAGAAAATAATTTTTTTCTTTTCCTCAATAAGAATATGAGAATGGTGAATTTTATTAGGCAACTTCATTTTATTTGGTGACTTCTCTTAAAAGTCATCTTCCATTTAGAATAATATTTTACTTACTAGTCAAAATGGATTTCAGGTTTTGAATCTTATATTTATTTTTCTGTATAATGAAATTAATATCTAGATGTGACCACCCTCTGTCTGCCTCATTGTCACTCCTACCCTAGGGCATTTGCACACATATCAGTCAGGTCCTTGCTGGCACCTGGTAGGGCATGTGCATTTAGAAAACCCTTCCTTAAAAGTGGAAGACAGAAGTATTATAAAATATATTTTTTCTTTAGCTTATGTCTTCTGCCTTCTTTCCTGACATAGCTCCTTGTCAACTTGCCATGACACAAATATTTGAGATGCCCCCCTCTTTATTCTCATATACTATGAAGGGGATTCAGTTGGTCTCCTTGTTGCAATAATTCATACTTCTTTGAGAGTTTCTGAAGAGTGCATTGAGAGGTCAGTGGGAAATCTCTGTCTCTCAGCTTTTTCCCCTGGAACATGGAAACCTGTTACCTGAATAGGAAGAACTTAAGAGGCTGTATGGCAACTAAGTCTGTAGGCACTTGCAAATCTGAGAGAAAAGTGCCTTTTTTTTGCAGCTGGTTGCTCCATAGAGGGTGTGTGACAACTGTTTAACTGGACCTCATGCTGTGTTTGGGTAGTTTTCTTCACCTTCTAAAAATACATACACAAGAGAAATGAAAATATACCATAAGAAATCAGATGCAAAGCACATTGATAGTACTATAAGTCTTATAGTATCTAAAAGGATTAGTAAAGGATAATAGACACTTCAGGGAATTTAGGAAATGCCAGCAGAGGAATTTTGTGGCATTAGTTACTTACTACCTTTTTTCCTATAATGTTGTAGTTACTAGTGAAATACTTTAAAAAAGCAATACCTAGAATTAGAACACTATGTATTGTGAACAGGGGGGAGTGAAGTAATATTGGCTCAGAAGACTTCACGTTTTGTTTTTGTTTGCATTGTTACATGCAGTGTTGCTGTGTCCTTTTGCTCCCTCCTTATGTCTTGGTGGCTCTTCCTGATTGTAGGATGAGACCTACCATTTTCATGCAGTGCACACACTGACCAAGGACCCATTCATTCTATATAAAGTACTATGCAGGGTGGATGCTGTGGAGGCCCTGAAATGAGACACAGCCTGCATGCTCATGCATGAGTCTGCCTGGCATTTTCTTTTTTTTCTTCCACAAAGACAAGTTTATTCGTTTATTCTCCTTGGTACTTCAGTTTTTTGATAGATCCCTTTGGTAGGTATATATGTGAGCATGTGTTCTTTGATCTTTTCTGTAGTATTCATTTGATCTGCCCTCTGTTCACCAACTTTACAGTTTTTTTCTTTAGTCTACAACTAATTAGACTTTAAAAATCATGACTCTCCAGTTTCAGAACATCATTTATCGCTCTCACCTGGCCACAATCCTAGACAGAAACCAAAGACCCAGAGGCCAGAGCGAAACAGGACTTTGAAATTTCATTGCTGGTGTATCTTTGGACCTTCACATCTTATTTTAGATTAATTTATTGAGTTTTACTGTTACACATTTTTTTTCTTTTTACTTGAATTAAAATACTCAACAGAGGAGAAACATAATTTCTGGTCTTTGTTTTCCAGAAAATCATTGGTAAGAGAATATAGTAGAGTGTATGACTTGAAGTTTTTGCAGCTTATATCTCCCCCAGTATCAGGGCATAGCCCCATTTTAAAGAATGTTTCTTGCATTACTTCTTTTCATGTTAATAACATTTTGTTCAAGTCCATACAGCAGGTGATTTTTTCCCCTGATATTTTCTTTAGTCCCTATTAGCCATCCCCTAACTTTTTGGGTGCACTGTGGATTTGCGACAGAATGGAGTTGCAAGCAAGCTCTTTTCTGGCCTTTTGCCTTTATCTTAGGTTGCACAGATACTTACTTTGGATACAGGTCTCTGTCTACTTGACTTGGTGCGTCAAAACAGAGATTCAGGCATTAATATGCAACCAGTGAAGGGAAGCTTAAAGCAGTCGGCTCTCTCTAGGAAGTATGGGACTTTCCCATCTAATAATTAATTAAGAGGGCGTTTGGACTCCTCCATTATTGCTACATCCAGGAAAGTGGAAGTGTAGTTTCTGGCAAGGTGTTAGTCAAATATTCTGTGACATATAACTCTCCTAATATTTGAAATTCTCTTTAAAGTATTGTTTTCTAATTAAAGTTTTACATCTGGTAACCTAAGTAGTTGTTTATGCTTTGCCAAGTCATTGTTTGAGGGATTCAATGGGATCACAGATTGGTTTATATCACAAGTGTGGTTAATTCCCTTCCTCTCCAGTTTGAGAAAACCAGAGGAGCAGAAACCTGACTGTCACTGTGGCAGCTCTGTATGGCAACTACTACTCTTTGTAGCTGTCTGTTCTTATAGATCAGTGGTTCTCAGCCTGTGGGTCACGACCCCTTTGGGGATTGAATGGCCCTTTCTCAGGGGTCTCCTAAGACCATCTGTATATCAGATATTTACATTACAGTTCACAACAGTAGCAAAATTACAGTTATGAAGTAGCAATGAAAATAGTTTTATGGGACTGCCGGGCAGTGGTGGCACACGCCTTTAATCCCAGCACTCTTTTGGGAGGCAGAGGCAGGCGGATCTCTGTGAGTTTGAGACCAGCCTGGTCTACAAGTGCTAGTTCCAGGACAGGGAAACCCTGTCTTGAAAAACAAACAAACAAACAAACAAACAAAAATAGTTTTATGGTTGGGGATCATCAACGTGAAGAACTGTATTAAGGAGTCACAGTATTAGAACGTTTGAGAACCACTGATAAAGACTAACTGGATGCTGTCAGTGGTAAGAGAACAACCATAGCATGTGTTTGTCAGCACAGTTACAAAGCATGACCTGCCTGGTTTGCTAGTTTAGTCATTTGTTCATGTACTGTTAGCAGATTAACACCATGAGTAACTTAAGACAGAATCATTGCTTGCTTTTTTATACTGTGTCACAAAGCTTGCAAAAGCCTAGGGCACAATTTTGTCTTAGTTTTGACTGTTTTTTTTTTAAAGGCAAAGAGCTGAGCCCCAATTCCTGCTCTCCTGTATGTATGTGATGTGACTTCCATGTGTATATAAAAACTGTTGCACCCTAACCAAACTTCCTCAGATTGTGCACTGTTTGTTTAAAATAATCACGTATTTTAGTTCAATGCTGTTGTATTTTTTCTTTTTATTTAAAACACTACTTACTCTCTAACAAATTTCAAAGGGTAGTGATCTTAAATCACTGGAAACTAGGAAATGTTTTTGTTGTTGCTTTGTTCTTTAAAGAGTGCAAAGGTCACTGAATCTTTTGCTCTTCTTACCTTGAACATGAATTGTCAGCCATTGTATGGCTAGGAACCAGTGCACTTGGCGTTAACAGATCTGCTGTTGCTGGGGACTGAGCGCGGACTTGATGCAGTGATGACAAATCATTGCGTAGAAGTAATGTTTTCCAAATGTGCAACTCAAGTTTGTAAAATGAAATTTGGTTCTTTACACCATTATTTAGTTTTTGTTTCCATTTAGTATTTAATGGTCTTTGGAGAAAAAATAATAAACAGAGTGTTATATATATATTTTTTGGTGCAAGATAAGATTTTGTTTTTTGAAATAAGTCTGTAGCATAAAGGTTAAACTATTTTAAGACAAAATAAAAATAGAGTGTATTTAAACAATGATACTTTCTGAGATTTTTTTTTTCCTGCCTCAGTTAATAAGGTAGTGCTTGGAACTATCCTGAAGCTATCCTGTGGAGGTGAAAATATTCTATTTTGTGAATAGACCATCATAATATGCCCTGTGATGTAACCCAGAGCTGTGTCCTGTTTCCAAGATGTGAGTAACCTGTGTCAGATCTAGGGAAAAATAGTTTTATGGCGATAGGAGGTTAGCCAGGCGTGGTATCTCATCAGCACCTGGGGAGGTGTGAGACAAGAAGATCCCTGAAGCATAATGCCCAGGTAGGCCAGACATTTGTAATGAATGATCCTGTCTCAATGAAGTGGATGGCATTCCTGAGGAAGACAACCAAGGTAATCCTGTGCACCTCATCCCAACACATACTTTCACGTGTACTTCCCAAACATATATACAGTGATAAAAACACTTAAAAAAAAAAAAAAAAGAACGGTAGTTTTACATTAGTTTCTCTATAGCATGTATCTCTCCTTAGTTAGGATGAGTGATTTTAAGCACAACTGAAGTTACCTTTGCTTCCAGGTACAAAATTCCCATTAAGACTATTCACTTTCCAGAAACCACCATGTCAGGGTCTGACCACCATGATTGCATGTGATTTAATACTGTATTTTACAAATAGCCTCACAAACTCTTTTCCTAGTTTGGTTCTGCTTTCAGAATTGTATTTGGTTCCAAAAATGATAGAAGCCATGTATGAACACTATGACTTTTGTAAAGTACATGAAGAAGAATGAGGATGTAGAGTGAGGCCTAGCTCCTAAATCCTGTCATGTAACTGCAGATCCTCTCAGTTCAAGACTTAATGATTCTGCCTACCAAGCAGGGCTGTTTCCAGTTGGGTTGGAACACCTCCTTCATACTGCTTTGTTTCTGAAACCTAGATGTATTAACACCCACCAAGAGTTGTGGTGGCACACTCTTCTCTGACTCTAGAAGAAAACTGTTTATGGGTGACCTCATATTCTGACCTTTTGCCTTTTGTAGAATTGGCACAAGTAAATAACATGTGGCTAGTGCTTTATAATTTTATGGTTAAGGGTCTCCACATCACAAGGAACTATATTAAAGGATTACAGCATTAGGAAGGTTGAGAGCCACTGCTCCTTTTTTTGTTTGTTTGTTTGTTTTTGAAGACAGGCTTTCTCTGTGTAATCCTGGTTGTCCTGGAACTCACTCTATAGACCAGGGCTAGCGTTGAACTCACAGAGATCCGCCTCTGCTTCCGGAATGCTGGGATTAAAGGCATGCGCCTCCACCAGGTGAGAACTGCTGGTCCCCCCCCCCCTTGTATTTGTTTATTTTTATGTATAAGTACTCTGTTTGCATGGATGCCTGCATTACAGAAGAGGGCATCAGATTCCATTATAGGTGGTTGTGAGCCACCATGTCGTTGCTGGGAATTGAACCCAGGACCTCTGGAAGAACAGCCAGCGCTCTTAACCACTGAGCTCTTTCTCCATCCCGAGAACTGCTATCTTAACTTTTATTTTTTAAAACTGTAGACACCACCTCATTTTAACTTCAATCTAAAAAGAAAAAATTACAGAGCAATCAGACAGACAGACAGACAGACAGACAGACAGACAGACAGACAGACAGACAGACAGACAGACAGACAGACAGACAGACAGACGTTTTTGCTCTAAAATGAGTAGTCTTCAGATTGTTGGTAAGTATGATTCTCTTCTGTCTCCCTCCTGCCCCCCCAACCTCTTGAGAGAGAGGGTTTTACTGTGTAGCTCTGGCTGGCCTGGCACTCACTGTGTGGGCCAGGATGGTCTCCAACTCACAATGATCTGCCTGCTTCTGCCTCTCAAGTGCTAGGATTAAAGGTCTGTGCCATCATACTCAGCTTCTATCATCATTATCATTTAAATTTTGAAGCATGAGGGCTTAGCAGTTAAGAGTGCTGCTGGCTGCTCTTAGGACTCAGGTTATATTCCTAGCCCCCACATGGTAGTTTGTAACTGACTGTAATTCCAGTTCTAGGGATATGATATCCTCTTCTTACCTCTGAGGGTACAAGGCACAGACAAATTTTTTTTTTTTTTTTTTGGTTTTTTGAGACAGGGTTTCTCTGTGGCTTTGGAGGCTGTCCTGGAACCAGGCTGGTCTCGAACTCACAGAGATCCTCTGTCTCTGCCTCCCAAGTGCTGGGATTAAAGGAGTGTGCCACCAACACCTGGCCAGACAAAACATTCTTACACATAAAATAAATAAATCTGAATTTTAGAATGTTTATTCTCTCTTGTTGCCCACATGTGTCTGTGTATATCCATGCATGGAGGTCAGAGGAGAACTTACGCCAGTCAGTTCTCTCCTTCCATGTGGGTACCAGGGTCAAACTCCATTTTCAGAAGCACCAATCCTTAGAATCAGGGAAGTTCCTGGGCTATGGTGGAACTCTGGACTCAGGGACTCTGCCTGGAACCAACGAATCTAGAGGGAAGTGGCAGCAAGAGCAGTGCAGGCAGTGATCCGAGTAGCAGAGCCCTACAGAAGAAAAGGTCTGCTTACCCAGGAGGATATGGAGGATATGGCGCTTCAAAGCCCGCACAGCAGAGCAGAGCTTTGGGCAGGGATCCCAGCGTGGCATGGGGATTCATGATTTTTTTTTGTTGGGCCTTGGTGTTGCACTTGAGGGGTGGGTGAAGAATGGGCATAAGTGCCAGTGGCCAAGTCAACTTGCAAAAAGGTATGGCACAACAGCTGGTGGGGTCTAGAATTGACACACTGCCTGGTCACACACCGTAGCTCTTAGTTCTGTGTAACTTCTACTCTAAAGAGAGAGTTCCAGGACAGCCAGAGCTACACACGGAAAGACTCTGTCTCGAAAAATACAGCAAAACAAAACAAAAAACAAAAACAAAAAAAGGAAGAAAAAACTCTTTGCTGGTATTTCCCTTTGTTTCTTTTTTAAAAAGAGATTTTGTGTGTGTGTGTGTGTGTGTGTGTGTGTGTGTGTGTGCTCCCAGCTGCCAGTCCCTAAAGAAAACTGAGTCCTTCCCCACCGGCACCCCTGCCAGAGGCCATCCATTGTTCTATTGTGGAGAGCTACACTTCAGCATCCTTATCACTATTTATTTATTTATTTATTTTTTATTTTATTTTTTGGTTTTTCGAGACAGGGTTTCTCTGTGGGTTTGGAGGCTGTCCTGGAACTACAGACAACTGATGAAGGCTGAGAGTAGGAGAAACAGCCATCCCCCAGGGAAGATTACACAGATTAGCTATCCAATACGAAACGGTCAGTCCTGAAAACGTAGCATACAAGTAACAGTATGCAGGCTGAGCAAGTTGTACTTACATAATTTGTGTGAGTACACACACACACACACACACACACACACACACACACCCACCCAACAACAACAAAGAAAACCATGGATTTGGGGGGTGGTGTACATGGAAGGGGTTGGAGGGTGGAAGGGTAAGGGGAATATGATGTCATTATAATTTCAGATTTAAAAAAAATAATATAAGCTTTAGAATGAGCC